TTCTATTTCTTCATGATTCAGCCCTACTAGATTTTAAATTTATATATATAAAATTTATCCATTTCTTCAAAATTGTCCAATTTGTGGGCATATAGTTGTTCATAGCAGTTTATAATCCTTAGCATTCCTATGGTATCAGTATTAGTGTCTCCTCCTTCATTTATGATTTTATTTATTTAAATCCTCTTTCCTTTTTTTCTTGGTTAGTCTAGCTAAAGGTTTGTCAATTTTGTTTCTCTTTTCAAAAAACCAACTCTTAGTTTTGTTGATCTTTTCAGTTGTATATTTAGTCTCTGTTTCATTTATTTCTGCTGTAATATTTATGTTTTTCTTTCTTGTGGTAACTTCGATCTTAATTTGTTCTTTTTTTTCCTTTTTACTTGAGGTGTAAAGTTAGGATTTTTATTTGAGATCTTTTTGGATGTTGGCATTTATCAGCTTATCTCTTGGAACATCTTTGCTGCGTCTCAAAAGTTTCAGTACACTGTGTTTCAAGTTCTATTTTTTTCAAGATAGTTTTGATTTTTTTTGAACCATTAGTTTTTCAAGAGTGTTATTTTATTTTTACATATTCATGAATTTACTCATTTTCTTTCTGTTATTGATTTCTAGTCTTATATCATTGTGCTGAGAAAAGATACTTGATATCATTTTGACCTTATAAGATTTTAAAAATATTTGTTTTGTGATTTAAGGTGTGATCTCTCCTGGAGGATGTTCTGTGTATATCTGAGAAGAATGTGTATTCTGCTGCTGATAGGTGGAAATTTTCTGTATGTGTTTGTTAGATCCACTTGCTCTATAGTGTTGTTTAAGTCTATTTTTTAAAAAGTTGATTTTATGTATGGATGTTCTATTCACTATTGTAAACGAGGTATTGAAATCCTTTACTATTATTACACTGTTGCAGTTACTCACTTTAGATTTGTCAATATTTGTCTATGTCCATACCACCCTGAATGAGCCTGATCTTGTCAGATTTGTCAATCTTTATTTTATATACTTAAGTGTTCTGATGTAAGTGGTGTACCTATTTATAATTGTTGTGTCTCTCTGTGGAATTAACCCTTTAATCATCATATAATGATCTTGTATTGCTAGAGACATTTTTTGACTTGCAGTCAATTTTGGCTGATATAAGTTTAGCTGCCCCTGCTTTCTTTTGGTTCCCATTTGAATCAAGTATCTTTTTGATCTTATCATTGGGCTCTCCTACCTGTAGTTTGTGAGATGGCTGGCTGTGTCTGCAACCTAGTGTGAATAAGGAGGGGCAGATGTGTGGAGGTTGGAGGTACTCTAGATAACCTTAGAGGACCAGAACTGGGGGCTGCTCCAGAACTCTTCCTTTTCTTTCCCGTTTCTTCTTCAACCCTCTTTTTTTTAGATTTTTTGCTCCTCATTTGTTCAGCAAGTATTGATTGTTCTTCAGAGCTCTGAGGAGAACCTAAGAGAAACACTTTACAGTTTCTGCCCTCAAGGAGCTCACAGCCTGGACTGTTGTCAAAGAAATGAGAGCAGAACGTATAGGCTTGACTGATGAGGAGTGTGGATGGAAGGGCAGCTGGGCTGCTGCCCAGGCCCTGCCTGTGAGGCTGTGCCTGGAGAGCTGGTCATGCATTCTGTGCCCCCTAAGCCATTTGGGACACAGGAAAGAAACGTTATATTTTCCAGCAAACAAATGAGAAGAGGGCCTTTATATATTCCTTTAAAGCACCTTTTAAGAGTTTTTTTTTTAAAAATTGATTTTACCATTTTTGGCCCATCTACCATTTGCATTATTCCTGATAATTGAAAAGTTCTTTATCTTTAGCATAGAAATGTAGGTATGTTCGTAATTATCTAAGGCAATTAAACTCATTTTATTATAAGATCATTTAGTTTAAAAGGTTTTATCGCACAGGTATAAGGCTGATCATTTTCTTTTTTCTTTTTGCGATTCTGGGGATTAAACCCAGGGTCTTGCTCATGCTAAGTACTTGTTCTACCAGTGAGCTACAACCTCAGCCCTGATCATCACTTTTTTTTTTTAATAACAAGAATAGAAGATATCCCCTCTTATATGGTATGGGCTCCTAGCTAGCTGAAGGGATGGGTTTCTGAGTAAGGAATAGTTGTATTCACATGTCCCTAAACATGTACTTTAGATGGCAGGGATGTTTGTGTGGGGGTTGCCTAGCATGTGTATTAAGGGACTGTCTGCTTCACAGAGGAGAAAGGAGCTGATGGTGGCAGTGGCCCAGGGGAGAGTGGTGAATATGGTTAGGGTATCATTGGAGCCGCAACCAGCTTCCTGGCACTCCTGAGAACTGTGGGGGATAAGTAGATAAGTTCTATGGCTGTGGTTTCTTGCTTTCATTTTTGCTCATCCATGTGGTTAACTACCAGGGCCCAATTTCACCCCTATCCATTGATTTTTCTCCAGAGCCAACAGCTCCTTTAGGTATCCAGTATAGTTTCCTGATTTCACAAATGAACAAGCAATTCTCCCCCTAGGAGAGAGGAGGTACCCTGGAGTAGGAAAAATTTGGATTTAATCTTGACTCTGAATCTTCTTGGCTTTGTGATATGGAGAACATTACTCAACATTGCTAGACTGTTTCTTCATCTGTAAAAACAGAGTAAAGATGGTTTCTACTTCCTGGGGCCATTGTGAAAAGTACATTAGATTGTGTCCATAAAGTATTTAGTTACTTCCAGGTACACAGTAGGTACCCAATAAAAGTCAGTTATTTCTGTTGCTAATACAGCTGTCCAGTGACTAACAGTCAGATCTCTTAAAATATTTTTTTAAATTCTTAAAAACTTAATCAAAAGCTTATATTGGAAGATAGGAATATGTCTCAGATTGAGACTGCAGAGTGGATTCCATCTCCACTCTGCTCTACCTCCATAGTGTCTTTACTTTCTTAGTCCATTTTCTGTTGCTGTAACAGCATACGTGGGACTAGGTAATTTATAAAGAATAGAGGTTTATTTAGCTTTATGGTTCTGGAGGCTGGGAAATCCAAGAGC